CCCCAAAACCCCAAAACCCCAAAACCCCAATAGCAAAGATTATATAAATATTCTGGATATGAGTTAATAATATATATCCTTTTATAATTAATAATAATGATGAATAGTTTTTCAAATTTCGTCATCATCTGCTTGCTAAGTGTAATAAGTTCTACCCATGTTCACTCAGCTGAGCACTATCTCTACCATGTTAAGAACTTTACTAAAGAATAGCAAGAAATAATTGATGAAGCTAAGGCTATTGAAAACTACTATAAAAATGCTTAAGTATTCGGCAAATACGAGAATCAATTGCCCTGGCCCTCTGTTAAGTTTCCTTATAATGGCGTTGCAAATGCTACAGTTTTCTAGTTCAATAATGTAACTTAGGAGCTTACAACATATAAGAACCTAACCTCGATGATCTATATTGATTCAGATGGAAACCGAGGAATAGTTGAAATCAAAGTGGATTTGCCTACAGTGGGCAGTTAAACAATAGATTTTTACATTGATTACACCAAGGGTGTAGTAGTGAACAGCATTCAATCCATAAGTTATTGTGTCGAGTAAAATGTTGGACTCCAGATAAACCTTAAAGGAATCATAGATGCGATTTCAGACTAGAACGCGAATTATACTCAATACTTAGGAAAAGTTAATATACCCTGGTTCCCTGTAGAAGAATACCATCAATTCCATATTTAAGTCGATACCCCTCAGGGTCTTAAAGGAATTATGGCTTTCTTTACTACTGACTCATAGGAGTTAAGATGGGTTACTCTAGATTTAGATTATGAAACTATAATTGGGTTTGAAAATGGCATTGTTGAAAGAAAGTTTACAGACGATGATTATAAAAACATTCTACGAACTTGTCCAAATACATTAGCATATGTATAGACGTATAAAAATGAATAATTCTTAAAGAAAGCTATCGAAAAATTCCTCAATTAAAAAATTGAGTGACGTTTGTTGAGGTAAAATCAAATATAAATGATTCTAAATGGAATAGATTGATAAAATATGTTTCGTATAATATCTCTTAATTATTAATTTAATAATCTTGATACTCTTAAAACAATTTTACACTTGAATTTGATGAAAAGGGGTTTTGGGGTTTTGGGG